AATGCATCAGATGTGAATTTTATGTTATCAAGCCCACATTTTCATAGGCAGCATGTTTACCCATTGACAACCATCAAAGAACAGTTTTCAAGGTATTTACAGTACAGTAGAACAATGAATCTCATTCCACTCAATGAACAACAAAAGGATTATTTGTAGTTATAAAATTATAATACTATACTGGAGAGGTTAACCAAATTTAACTTACTTCTCAAATTATGTCTTTAATTTTAATAAAACATTCATTATTTGAAAAGCAGTACAAGACAGTATTTGTATTGGATTCCTAAACAAGTTATTAGTTCCATAGTTAATGCAGACTTCGTCTATAAAAGCACAGCACTAAGCGAAGGTTAATGTGAATCTTCTCAATAAGCAGACGTTCAGATCAACCAGCTTCTGCTTATAAAACCATTCTTGAAATAATTTGCATTTCTATATTTGAAAGCAAAACTATGCTGCTGCAGTCCAATTTTCAAAGGTTGCCACCTACTGTTAATAAAATATTTTACAGATGTATTTACAAGTCAAATGCACACAGAGCCTTATTTGCCATTTGGTAAATTTATTTATTTACTTGATTAATTCCAGATTAGAATCAGGTTGCTTATAGACACCATAACATAAAGCACCTTTTAACAAGCTATACTTGTGTAGAAGATTATACATGAATAACAGATTTAATTTATCTGCTTCTAGACTGACATTTACTAGAGCGTCTCAGATTTAAATGTAGACAGTGGATAATTTACAAAAAAATTATTAAATGATACGCAGATTTACATTTTATAAACAGCAAGCAAAAGTGAAAAATAGTATACAGAGGTGATCATTCAAAGTATAAGCAAATTTCATTATTTGTATGCTTTTATTCCATTGCCCTAAAATAGTTCAGAAGGGCCATTTTTGTCTCAGTGTTTTCTTTTTCTGTGTAAGTAATTGAGAAACATGAGAAACAAAATTGTTAATTTTTTCTTATATTAGCATTCATTTACCATTAGTGCAAGATCAGATCCTCAGCTTTATAGATCTGCATAAGATATTTGTAAAGTGGATGAAGCTGCACCTGTTTCTATCACCCAGAGGTCTATAGACTTACAGAAAGTTAAATTATAGCTGGCTTTAAACTGTGGAAGCAAAAGGAAAATAAAACCTTTTTCTATTATGCTGGTCACTGTTAATAAGATCCTTTGCAAACAGATGTATTCACTTGACTGACTGAAAATCTTGACTGGACTTTTTCAGGTTAGAGTTCTGCATTATCTGAACATTATACAAGATTTTCTTCACAGTTGATCAGATATTCTCTTCAAATGGTTCGAACAGGGACTGAATTACATCAGACACTCTTACAAGCTGAATATAAGCAGGGCTAAGAAAGGCAGGCTCAGAACCATTACCTGAAAGTTGATTTCTCAAACAACTTGGTTCCTGGAGTATCTTTCTTTGTTATTTATTTCTATTCACAATTACAAATTTTAAACCTGTGGTTGTTTCCTTCCATTGCATAATTCCCATATTCATTCTGGGAATGAAAAACAAAGTTCTGAAGATATTTTGGCTTCAATCATTTCACCTTTGTTGTATCCCAAAAGTCTACAGTTAGATTTCACTCCCAGTAGGTCAGCAGTGTTAAGGATCTAGTACCCTGCACGCAAAGTATCCTTTTGTGAGGGATAACTTCAGAAAATTGGAAACAAATCAGAGAAAGGAAGAAAATTTCTATATTTGCTAAGAAGCTAGTCATGCAGGAATCACTGTGGAAAACTTACACAGGATGAACAAACAATACATCTGTCCCATAGGAATAAAAGAGACAGCTAGGTAACAAAACAAATTGCAACCCATGACTGATAAGGAGTTACATGGCAAGCTGTTCAGAAACTTTTAGAGAAATGTGTGAGAGAAATAAAGTAAGTCCCATCACTAAGAGAAAAAACTGTGAGAACTGAGAACAAAGTACAGTATTATTCAGGAGAGAAGACTTCTGTAAATTTATTTTTATAAAAATAGGACCATGTTCTTATGACAGTTTTAAGACTATCTTAGGTTCCAGTACTATAGTATTGGTTTCCAGAAATAGTTAATTCCATAATAGTTAATTCTATAATAATTCTATACATGTTCCAGTATTTATACTTTATCCAGATTTTACTCAAAACAGATCCTCAGGTTTTTTTTCTCATAAGCCTATTATCCATGGTAGAAAACATATTATAGGAATTGTTTTGATCAAAATATTACTAAAAACAATGATAGACTACCATTTTTATTAACAAAAAGATAACAGTGCACAACTGCTGCCAAAGACTAGCTAATGATTTCCTACTGAAGGTTGGTTTCTTCAAAGGTAATACTAGCTATATAAGATAGAATATGAGAAGGGGGAAGATTCAAATAATTGTCAACAACTAAATAATAAAATTAAATCTTTGGGGTTTGTTTTATCTCTGATTACAACACTATTCTACAAGACGTTCAAAAGCCTTTTTTCTATTGCTTTTGTTTAAGATAATTGTGCCTGTGGCATTGAATTAGGATTCAAGAGAGGATCTGTAATTCTAGCTTCATTTGTGAGCTACTGTGTGGTGTTGGCTAACTCGCTTCACCCTTTTATTATCCTTTCCCATATTTGTTAGCTGCCTAGGTGTATCGTAAAATCTGTGAGGTTGTGCATGTCTCTTGCTTTGTCTGTGTGTTGTACAGAGCTTCCTCAGTTCCCAGGTGGGTTGATTGCCTATTGGAGATGCATGTCCTCTCACCAGTAATGTCAGAGGAAGACTGTGCTTAGGTAGGATGAATTCAGGCCTATCATTACAGGGGTATAACATCGTAAATTTGAGTACATGCTCTGTGTGGGAAGATACGGCTGAATCACATCATCGGTGAAAGAGAGATCTGCTTTTTATTTGCCAATTTTAGCAAATTTACCTCAGTATTTGCTGTTTGCTTCTAAATTTTAGCAATTTTGTATGATTTTCTACAGCTAACCCACATTTATCTGTGGGCGTGTTATGAATTAATTATGCCCTAGTTACAGAAATACTTGAACTGGTCCTGAGAAGAGTCAGCAGGGCCAGCAAGGCTTTTTATCTCAGATATAATACCACTCCAGCATGACTGTAATGTCTCCATGGGCAACATGGGTTGGAGCCTCACAGATGCTTTAATGTAGGTGGGTGCCCGATTAGCAAGCTCTGCCAGATATACTTTAGCTTTGGGAAGAACTGGTTTGGTTTTTATGCGCAGCATTGCTTGATCCAAGGTATTTGTACAATGCACTGAAAAGCACAGAGTCAGCCAGGGACCAGGAAAACTTCTTTGCCTGGGCTAAGTGATGCCTCTTCCAAGCTCTGACTTGCTCCCACACCTCTTTCCTGATAACTCTGGGCCTTTTACTTTGAACACAACACACAGGTGCACAGATCATCTCTGGCACTAGGCTAAAGTTAAAACATAATCCTGAGTTCTGAAAAGTGTGACGCAAAAACACACAAGTAGTAGCCTTCCAAACAGATGGTAAATCTCTGATATTACCTGTGACCTGCTAACATAAAAGAGAAATTATGCTGTATATAAAGAGGCATATATATGCATGTACATTTTTTTTTCAGAAAAAAACCCACATTAAACTTTCAGTATTTGGAGGGAAGCAAAAGTTTTAGTTCTGAGAATCAAAACGTAAAGTGTTGATTAGTGAACATAACACGTTTGAAATGGCCACAGCTGCATGACAAATATACTTCTCAAAGAGCTCTAAGCTTTAGCAAATTTACGTAATTTATAATATTACCTCCTTATTATGTTAATTTACACTCCCTGAATCAGAAAATTTCTTTTGTTTATAAGGTCATAATAGGATGGTAATTGCATTTGCTCATGTCACCAGATGGTTTGTGTTTATCAAAATCTGGCTTTTGCCATTGTAACACTGACCTGATACACTCACTTTTTGGGCATGTCTGAAGCAGTGTTAGTATTACAGATTATGAATATAATCAACTTTCTTTGGGTTTTGCCATTAATGGATCTCTTGCTTTTTTAGCAGCACCAACTGTCTTGATTTACAATTCAGGAATGCTGATGGTGAGGCAAATTTAGCAAGCAATTTTTCTGCTCAGCTCTGATTCATGTTAGTATTACTGAGCCATCTGCAAGGTATTCTTTGTCCTCCAGAAAGAGAGGGTACAGCTTTGTGCAAAGGTCTGCTCAGTTCCCTTACTCGCCTCACTCTTCTGCTGAAGTACAAAACAGGGAAGATGGACAGTTTTATAAGTTAGGTAATGGTACGGGCAAAATCTGTAGTCTGTTCCCGCCTCTTCTAGAGATTTCCCATGCAACCATGGGTGAATCATTGAATTATTTTCTGCCTTATCACTCCATCTACCATAGTGATAGCATTTCCATTCTCTTTTCCTTTTTCTTGTTTTGTAACTGCTTTGCTGTAATATAGTGGGGTTACAATTTTCCTGAAGTATATATAGTAATACTTTTAAACAACTCATGGCTTTTCCCTTCTGAACTGGAGTGAAGGAAACTTCAGTAACTAGCATTTGTCAGTGCTTTAAGTTGTGAGATTACTTCAGCCAGATGTTTGCTGTGTTAATCTAATTTACTCAAAAATCATAAACTGGGAAACTACAGTAAAAATACAAAGAGCAAAAGGAACCTGTAAGTCATGAGCATGTGAAAATACAACATGAAGCATTTGCAGAGCCTTCTTTTTCCCTATGCAGTTCTGTTACTATGAAATTGTGAAAATATTTTTCCATTTAAATGGTATTGCAATAACCAGTAAAAGGCCATTTTGTTTTATAGCCACTCAGTCCCACATTATTGACTATACTTGCTTAATTACCAACTTGTGCTGCAACACATTTCAAAGAAATAATCTGCTTTTTGGTCTTCAGAATATACAGCTCTCATTTGATACCTTTACCACATTTAATGTTTCAACAGTGGTTTGAGAACTGATTCTTTCACATACACTTTAAGTTTTAGAAAAATATTTAAAATTTTTTGTGTAAGATAAGCATCACAGCTCATAACATTTTACAGCATTTGAATTTTTGCATTTTTGTACTTGATTCTTAAAATTAAACCAAATGATGTTAACATATACATTTCAGGAAAAAATCAGGATAAGACTGAAAACTTACTTTTCTGATATAAAATATCTGTTTTACATTAATGCTTCTATTTAAATTCTCATTTCTAAATGGCAGCACCTTATGAGATATGTCCTGAAGACTACTTGATGTCAATGGTGTGGAAAAGGACCCCAGCTGGGGACATGGCATTCAATCGATGTCCTCTCAATGCCACAGGTACAGTATTACTTTAAAATGATATGATGATAAAAAAAGGATAGAAATCTTTTGCATTGTGTTCTAGACATAATCATTACTAGATTTGTATACATATGTATATATGCATATATGTGACTATATCTATACAAACCTGAGATATTTGCATAGGCATATACATATATATCGTTATACATATATACATATACATATACATGTACATATACATGTACATATACTGTCTCTTATAGCTTACATATGTGTATGGGTCTGTGGTGTATATCTATGTATACACATAGATATATGCATTATAGCCAGAGACAAAAAGCTGAGAAGAAATCAATTTGACAGGACCTATCAAGCAAACTGATGAAAATGAGGCAAAACATAAAAATCTTTTCAATTAAGAAAACACTGCTAAAAACCCACAAGTGAACATTGAAATGTGTTTCAGAATCTTATACTGCTCTCTATATACTTATGATCATTGCATGAAATTGGTTCTGTGTGTGCTTTTAAAATAGCATGGAATGTACTTTAAATAAGGTTCCTTCTTTCCAATTGCTCTCACTTATATAAATATTTTCTGTTTTCTTTGTGACTTACAGGCACCACTAGCAGACGCTGCTCTCTCAGTGTTCATGGAGTGGCCTTCTGGGAACATCCAAGCTTTGCTAGATGCATATCAAATGAGTACAGACACTTGCAGCATTCAGTAGGTGCAAAGCCAGCTTTAGTACTTGCTCTGTTTATTCATTACTAATCTTTGGCATGAAAAAAAACTTACTTATTTACTCTCAGGTCAGATTTCTGATAGGAAATACCAGGAGGAAAATAGACCTAAAAAGAATAATTTATAGTAGTGTATATTGCTTGTGTTTGAGTGAAAGAAGCTTTAAAGGTCTTACTGTAGAAGTGGGAAAATGAATCAGATTCCCTTTTTTCATGTCCACTGTGTGAAATTTTAGGGATCAGAGGTAAGACATGTTTTGGTTTATTAGAAAATGAGATGTGAATAAATGAGATTTACTGGAAGAGTGACCTGCTGAGTAATTTTATAATGCCTTGAATTCTTTAATCGCACACTAGGAAGTCAGAAATGACATTTCTTTTTGTTATCAAATTTAGAACTTCACCTTCAAATGTAACAAAAGGAAATGATTATAGGGTAAAGCTATTGCAGTGTCTTTGGAAAAAGTAAAATAACTCTAGATGAAGAAACATTATGGGATTTTTTCAGTATGCTTAACAAAAAGTTTCTTTGTAAAGCATATGAATTATACATTTATCTACTGCCTAAATATGTTTATATGCATAGATGTAATACACTGTATATATTGCATTATAAACATACTGCCATGGTATATGCTAGGTATTTTTATTACATTCTGTTTCCATAGCCAAAGAATTTAGCCAGGTTAATATTATCTGGGAAGAGGTCCTTTGAAGATTCTTATGGACAGTGGTTTTTGTCTGCATGATATATTTTACTGACATTCTTATTACTCTGCCTGCTTTTCCAAAGGCCACTGCTCCATTAATCATTCATCAGAGGGGCACTAATACAGCCATGTGTTTTGTAACTACCCAACCTCTCAACCAAATGCAATGCTTCCGTAGCATGTTTAAAACACTTTGGTGGCTTGAAAAGTATAGCCTGACTATCAAATCTGGCTTACCACTTAGAGGAGATTTTGATTAAGTCCTTTGAGCTGCATTTTTGTTTCATTAGATTCCAACTTAATTGAGGCCTGGGGTTCAGTTTCAGGGGAAGCCAAAGCATTATTTTTAAAATAAAACAGAATAAAGTGTCAAAGCAATTTTCCCTACTACAGAGAAACTTCCCTATTTTATATAGCTGTCCGCATGTTGCACTATCCTTTTAGTGTTCGTGCTGGGAAAAACAACAGTAAGTTGGCTGTAACTGTTTTGCATTTTATATTTTTGATATTTTATTCTTTTGCAACAGCTGCATATAGTATGTCTCAACATACTTTATGGGCATGGACAGCAATAAATTTGTATTTCATTTGCTTAGACTCTGTATTTTAGTAAATAGCACAGTAAAGGCAATGACTGTAGGTAATATCATAGAATCATAGAATGATAGAATCATAGAATGTTTAGGGTTGGAAGGGACCACTAGTGGTCATCTAGTCCAACCCCCCTGCAGTGAGCAGGGACACTGCTAACTAGATCAGATTGCTCAGAGCCCCATCCAACCTGCTGCCATGTTGGTTTTCCAGCAGATGTCGGGGTGGTTGAAGTCCCCCAGCAGGACAAGAGCCTGCGAGCGCGAAGCCTCCCGGAGCTGGAGGAAGAACGCTTCGTCAGTCGGCTCCCCTTGATCTGGCGGCCTGTAGTAGACACCAACCACCAGGTTCCCTTTGTTGCCTCTTCCTCCGATTTTGACCCATAAGCTTTCGACCTGCTCGTGGCTATTCTTCAGGGTCAGCTCTTCACACTGTAACGATTTCTTGATGTAGAGGGCAACGCCTCCACCCCTCCTTCCTCTCCTGTCCCTTCTGAACAGCCTGTAGCCATCCATAGCTACATTCCAGTCGTGGGTTTCATCCCACCAAGTTTCTGTAATGGCAATCAGGTCGTAGCTTTCTAGCAGCACAATAGCTTCCAACTCCTCTTGTTTGTTATATATACAGTTCTGCATACTAAATACTAATAAACATATTGCAGAACAAAGAATTCACATTTTTGATTGAAAACACTGAGATATTTCAAAGTAAAGCAAATTACTTCTCTTTTACTTGCTATTTTTGCATTTAAATATTACAAACTTCTGAAATATTTAAAGGATTTTGAAATATTTTAGAGGTTTTAATCAACTTGACCTGCTTGGCCAGAAGACCATCCCTTTAGGGTTTTGTTCCTCTGCTCTTACTTTTTTACATTTCATATCAACTTTTATTCATACTGTTGATCCTCATGCCACTGACTGTAGAGATATTCAGCCTTTTTTTTTTATGCCATTACTAGAAGACATTCATAAACAACCCAAACACTGGGAAATGCTTTTTCATGTTATTCAGTGGTTTGACTTACCTGGCTAACTTTTGGTGAGGTGCTGATATTTTTTGAAGAGCTGCAAGTCTGCCTGACAGGAAGGGGTCATTGTTGGACAAAACAAGGCATTTCTAACCCAGATCAGATTTATCTATTCTTCTGTATTTCCTTTTTTAAAATATCAAATACGATTAGACCACACTGTGAAATAATCTTTTGCCAAAGAACATTTAAAAATAGTTAAAGCTTCTTTAAAATTATACAAGCATCTGACCATCATGTTATTGCTGCACAAAATTTCAGTCTAGTTTATATGCATACAAGTTAAAGGAGAAAAGTGGTTTTCTTTTACACCTGGGAGCTGTTCACAAAGAAAATCAGCTTGTCTTACATCTTACTGCTTCTCAAAGTGAACAACACAGCATATTTAAAGAATAGTAGAAAATAGAGGTAAAGACCTATAAGGTCATCACCCTGCAAATGTAGGCTTGTCCCCCCACGATACATATGTTAGCTCTATAAATCCCCAAAAATAAGGCTTTATAAGGAAGTTGCTGACAGACGGTGTTGCTATAATAAATATGTGTGCTTATGAAAGCATTTATGAGATGCCTCGGTGTGCTTAACTTACCAATAATGTTATTTCACCAACTCAGACCAAGAGTTGTGGGGGGTGTCACTCAGTTCTGTGGATGTTCCCATAAAATCTGAGTCTGAGCTGGATCCCTTTCATTTCTTACCTGAAATACATAAAACAAAAGTAGGTGTATATTCTTAACAAATGATATTTCTGAAGTTGATTTAAAGCAGCCGATATACTTAATATATATACAATATTTCATACATTAAAGCATGCCCACCTAGAGGAATACAGACAGGTCCCTGCCTCTTCACCCTCCAAACAAATCATATATGATCCAGAACCAGCCCAGAGGTCATGTAGTTGAATTCACATGGTGCTGCGTCCAAGCAAATACTCTCTATAAAGAAAAGCATTTCATATGCTGGGGCCAGAGGAAACTGCCTTGGCCACAGACCCTGCTAACCTGGCTACACAGAATCTGGACTGGAATCTTACAGTTGTATTAGTAAATAAATTAAACAGTTTGACTGCTCAAGCTTAAACACTATCCTTGCAGTCATCTACACTGTTATCATCTGTTAACGTACTCCCTGACATGATTTAACACCATACCAGTGCGCACTCCCAAACAATGCTTAGCATCCTTTGGAGGCTAGCATGGCAGAGAGACCATTCCCAGCAGGCAATAAAACCATCATTTTCCTGGAAAACAAAGGGCTTTTTTATAGCTTGAGAGATACAAGCTGTCTGTGCTTATTGGCCTCAGGGCTAGACAATATTCCCATGGCTATTTTATTTACCTGTATTTACTATTTATATAATAGAAACACCTTACATTTGGGCAGCTTGGTCTGTAAGAAGAGAAGTTCAGGGTTGCATGTGTCCATCAGTGAGGCCAAACCTGGAGTCCTGTGTCCAATTCTGGGCTTCCCAGTACAAGAGGGATATGGTGTGACTGGAGCAAGACCAGCAAAAGGCCACTAGGATGATTAAGGGACTGGAGCATCTCTCCTGTGAGGAGAGGCTGAGAGAGCTGGAGCTGTTGAGCCTTGAGAAGAGAAGGCTAAGGAGGGATCTTATCAATGTATATAAGTACTGGAAGGGACAGTTAGAAGGAAAATGGATCCAAGCTCTTTTCAGTGGTGCCCAGTGACAGGACTGGAGGCAATGGGCACAAACTGAAACACAGGAGGTCCTGTCTGAACATCAGGAAACTGTTTTCACTGTGAGCGTGACGGAGCACTGGCACAGGTTGCCCAGGGAAGTTGTGAAGTCTGTATCCCTGGAGACATTGAAAATCTATCTGGACATGGTCCTGGGCAACCTGTTCTAGACAACCCTGTTTGAGCTGGGGGGTCGGACCAGATGATCTCCAGAGGTCCCTCCCAACCTCAACCATGATTCTGTGATTCTGTGGCTTTCCAGAAAATTGGAAATTCACACAAGGCAGAAATCCTGAAAAGTTAATTCATAGATTTCCACTCTAATAGCATGATTTTTACTTTCTTCCTAAATATAACCTTTTCCTCTAACAACCTTAACACAGGTTTTCAGCAGATGTCCACATAAAGCCAGAACATTATGCTATATATAGTATAGAATTTTACCACATAACCACTGGTGATTGACCCCTGAAAACCGTTTCCTTTCTACATGAGTAGGTTCACTGCCTCATGCACAAAGCCCCTTGTATTTATACAGCTGTCTCTATTACTCACCTGGAAGTGACATGGGACAAATTTCAACCCTTAATAAGCAGTAATAAAGCAGCAGAAACCCAGCTAGTGCTGCATGTTCTTCAGCTTCACTCAAGGCTTGTATGGACACCAATATGGTAGCTATATAAATTATGCTAAAATGGCACTATCTTTTCATCTCAAAATCCATTTGGAAGTCTATTTGCAAAAGATGAAGAGTCAGTAAAGTTAAAAATACTCGTAATGCTAAAGATAATATACTTTGCTCATAACCCCCAGCACCATGAATAATTTAGCTTTTTTCCCAGCCACTTACAGAATGTGCTAGGCAGAATTACTGCCTCTACTCAGGATAGGCATATACTGGCACTTCAGATGCAGGGTATTGGTTCCTCAAAAAAGTGCAGTGTTTTC